GGCATACTTTTCAAAAAAAGTATTACAAGCTATTTTCTCTCATTTACTCACACATGTATTGATTGACTCCTGCCTGCTGGGCACTGTGTTAGGTGTTCAGAATAATAAATGAATGAATCTCATGGTCTCTGTGTTGAATAGTCCATCACACATTTCAAAGTGTGCATACAGTAACCTATCTTATAGATCACTATATTTTTTCAAGCACAGGACAAACAGAAGTTGTTATTGTTATATAATTTGTGGTAAAAGAAGACAACAAGTTTGGAATAGGACAGCACACACTGGATCCTGGAGAAGGAATGCCATTAACATGAGTGTGGCCACGGGGCTTCTCATCACAACTTCACATTTATGGTGTGACTATGAATTACTGAGGCTAAATCCACAATCCAGAGCAGAAATTAGACCTTGTTACCTTCTGAGTTTGGTGAGTGACATCGATGCTTAGTCAAGTTTAGGGCACTGTGTCTGCAGGTAGCCATGCAAATTCACACTGGCCCACATGCACAGACCTGGAAGAAAGCACAGACCCAAAAGTGGGGTCTAACCAGAAAGGGCTGAACCACATGCCCCTATATTTACATCTTTTCCCCCTGGGTTTCATGAGACAAGAGAAGAACACTTCAGTGCATTGGGTTTGTGATTTCTAAGCCTTTGGAAAGAAGAGATGACTGTGGAAATGCCAGTGACCACTGGAAACTTAGGTCACCAGCAGTGTTTTTATGGCTCAGTGATTTCTTTAAATCAGTGAGGCTACACCCTTTTGAAGTTATGGTTTCAGTGAGACTTGACACCAATGCAGCAGATCCCATGTGATGTTGACCCAGGCCCTTGGACTCTCTAATCAGTAGAAATTGATTAGAGGCTAGATGAGAAATTCAGGTAAGGCTTTATCAGGACTCATGCTACAGCACAAGGGAGCAAAAACAAGTATCAGGTGCCCTTGCTCTCTCCCCGAGGAGGGTGGGCTGGTTCCTCAACTGGGATGAGGGTAGGGGCAGATTGGTGGGTTGGGCAGGAGATGTGACTCAGGTGGTCTGCCCACCCCCTTAGTGGTGCTGTGTGCAAGGATCATGCACAGTACCCGTCCTTTGCTCTCTACAACTAAGAAGTGGCAGTTGGTTTGGGGCCTTTTTGTATCTTATTGTTCATAACTGCCCCAATTACATATGTATGCAGTTATTTTTTGGTCCCTTACAGTTCCTTTGTATTCTGTTGCTTGAGGAGACGTTTGTCCAGGTGCAAGCACTATGATAAAGGGTCCCAGGTCCCAGCCTATCTTGCACGCAGTAAAATGCTTAGTGTATCCTGAAAGCACTGGTGGTCATTCTATTCATTCATTTATTCATTCTGCAGTCATAGCTCTTTCTCTGTGTCTGATGTTACGCTAAAAACTGAGACTACAAAGATTTTTTTTTAACTCAGAGCAAAAAAAAGATACAAACTTCCAAATTTTATAAAGATTCAGTTGGAAAAGAATCAAAAGTTCCTAGCAAAATAAATATACAATTTGGTGTTGCTTTTATGTGAATAACCATAAGCCTAATATGTCAGTATGTCAGCTGACTGCAGTTCAAGTGCTAATTTCTCCAGAGCTAGTATAAAGCTTGGGAAGGCTCAGGAAGCTAGAAGATAAGTAAGTGATCTTTCCCAGCATTGCTCCTGAAGGAAAGCTAGTCAAAAATATGCTTAGAAATGTTATTCCTATTGAGGACAAAGAAATAATACCTACCTGGAAACACTGTCATAACAATGTGCATCTTTCTATTTTTCATGACTGCAAAGTTCAGATTTAAGCAACATTCCTCAGCAGACACCCCTCTCAGCTGGTCTTTATCTGCTCTCTAGGGGTACAACCCTGAGCACATTCCTCATCTGGAGACAGTCTTGTGTGCCCAGGCTTCTCTCACAGCCTAAGTATCATATTGTCATGGGACAGCTATAAAATCTTTATAACAGTAGGAATCTATTGACTGGTGGGTAAACTGTACATGAAGTAAAAATTCTGTGTGTCAGAATTCAGAAGTCAGGGCAGAGCCAGGCATCTTGCTGCTTGGTGGGTGGTGCAGAGTTTCTTAAGTCAGAGCATCCTTTCATTAGGACATTCCCGCCTGTTCACTCACTTGGCCCCCCAAAAGATTAATAGATAAACAACAAAGCAATTAAATAAAGGCAGCCAGTTAAAAAATTCATTTAAAATGTGGAAATTAAAATGACAGAGAAATCATGTTTGAGGACTTAAAGGGTCCAAATACTTGAGCTACCTAAGAATGATGAAAACTGAGGGATTTGGGACATGGAAGGAAAAGTAATTCATGATGGTTACAAGACTCTATTGGGGGAAGAGGGGAAGGGGTCTCTTTCTCAGTACCAGATAATTTCATTTTCATAGCTACAGCATGAAAATACTGGTAATTCAAAAGATGCCCTAATTCTGCCATTTACAAAGAGGAGCTCTCTGAGTGTTATCTAGTATCAGACACGTCCCAGGCTCACATCCAGTCTAGATCAAGCTGGCATTATCAGCAACCTCTAGGTATTAATCAAGAATTTAACAAGCTGGGTGTGATAGAAGACGCAGGAAGAAGAGGAGACTCTTGTTGCTCCTCCGAGTTTTCCACTAATGATAACTCGAAAATAAGGAAACTTCAGGCTCGATGCTCTCCATTCCATCTAAGAGATGGCTGAGGGGACAGGGTACTTTTCAAGCCTTTGAAAAAAAGAATTCATTTTTTTCCTACCTGCTTACTGAACCATCACTCTGACCCTTGAAAGAAGGGAAGAAGCATCTACAGCCCCACTGCCTGAGGGATCCCAATCAGTAGGTCCAGGTCTATTCACAAATCTGTCTGTCTAACAGAGCCCTGATGTGGCCCTCTGCCTCACCCTCTTGCCCAGGACTCCTGTGGGCATGGAGGGAGGAGAGCTGTTGGTGGTTTCTTCCTCCCAGGCCCCCACGCAGGACGCCCCACCTACTTACAGGTTTGTGGTCAACTCAGAGGAAATGACAAGTGGTCTTAGTGGTTTTATTCCTCTTACATATAAGGATTAGGAGCAAGTACTTCCAAAGAAATGTAACACTTTTAGGAAGAAGAGGCACTCAGTTGAGGACTGTGCCTAACCTTGACCTCTGCCTCTGCTGTAAACACGCCCTCGCAGGGAGCTCCACCGCCACGGTGATATAATGGTACAGGGGGACCAGGCCCATGAGGTGGGTTGCCTGACTTAATCCATTCATTGAATGCTCATTTACACATCTGCCATGTTCCTGTGTTTTCCAGTGCTCAATTTTCTCACCAAAGCATTTAAGGGTCTAATTCCCAAGTATGAAATGGTAACAGGGACAGGGATGACACAGAGTTGTGCAAGTTGGGTACTGCACAAAGGTACTCAGGCAAGGCGGGTGAGTAGGAACTGAAATTCACCCCATGCTCCTTTTACCAAGCCAGGTACCCATGAGGCTACCTCTGCCCACAGGGTGTACGTTTCTCTAATGTACAAAAAAAAACCATTTTTCAGGCAAACAGAGGCCCTTTGCTATAAAATAGATGTTAGTACCCTATTGTGAACTTTGTCCCCAATGGATAATGTAAGAATGGATTAATCTCTTAATCCGCCATTGCCTTAGTCTCCCCATCTGTAAAATTAGGACAATAACACTTCTCTGTGTTTTATGCCTGGAGATAATCATTATAAGGAGCAGCTTGCGCCCAGTAGAAAGAAGGTCTTCAAAGATCATAAAGCTCATATTAAATATTAGACTTTACTTCCTCACTTTGTCCTAGGGAAGTGCTACTTACTAGCTATGGATCATCCTATGCTCAAAGAGGAAAATAAAACTATTTTGTAGCCCTTGCCAAGGAAAGTTAATGGAAGCGCTTATTCCGCTAGCTATGTAATGGTCACGAGACAAGCCTACCTAGGACCAGCTACACAGCTAAATGCCTATTCAGAGACCCAGCAGAAACTTCAGGTGCATTCTTCATCAATGGTGCTCTCAAGTTTTATGTGCAAACAAAGGTCATAAACAAGGCTACTAATCAATTTTTGCAAAGAGATAGAGAAGAAGGGACTTTCTGTCCTTGAGAGCAATGTGCCTCTCTCATCCTTGAGTGTCAGGGTCTGAATTGAACAGTGGTTGCTCAATCAACATTTGTTGACATTTGTGCTGAGAGACCCAAAATGTGCTTCCAAGTGGCTGATCCTCCCCTTCAGGGAGGAGATATGAATCCAGATACGGGATTAGGAGGGTCCTAAATAATTCATATGGAATCATCCAATTTGGGTAGACCTGCAGAAAAGGGACTTCAGTTTCCATGTTTAGAAACTTCCTGTATCTAATCTAAATCTTGGATATTCTTATTCCAGCATTAATGATGTCAGAAAGCATGGTTTTGAAGCAATCACTCTGATTCTACTGATCCAGACAAAAAGATTGAAATTTTAAGAAGTTTGAATTTGACTATACTAATATGCTCCTTCTAACTTCTAGATGAATTTATCTTTCTGGGTAAAAATCTAAATAAACTCATGTTAGCATCATTTGGTTATTCCGTGACCGCTTGCTCTAAGTACAGTGCTTCGAAATTTGTTTTTGTCCAATTTATCATTCAGCCATGGACTGGATTTTCAGCCTTGAAAGCCAACAGATGGCTTGATTCTTATCTAATTTAAAGAAAACATCAAGACAGTGGCAAAGAGAAAGCAAGTTCTGCGGCCTCCTGCTTTGTGGCCGGCAGAACCTCGCTGTACAAAGTCAGGCTGCGCTTGTCTCCCTCTGCTGTTTCCCTCCTGAGAGCTAAAGAAGCAGCTTGCAGAGGGGGGTTCTCATGAACACTGACCCAGGCTTCAAATGTGTTTACTCTGGTTTCAATAGGATCAATTCCTGCAGCGCATACAGGAACTACTCAGCCACCAAGTGGCTTCATTCTTCTCATAAGCAGATGGCTGCTTAGGAACATACTGACTGCCACCTTGTGGAACTGGAACAGGCGTACCTGGAAGAAGCCTGTTCTATTCGATTTTTTCTCACTCTTGATTTTTTTTTTCCTCATTTTTGATCACTTTCTCTTCTCTGGGAAAGAGCCTCCGTGCTGCTCTTGTTACAGGAGCATCTGGTACCTGGCGGGGGAAAAAAACAATTCCGCTTACTTCATGGACTGTCATTCTGGGTCAAAACAGAGCTATGACATATGGAGAGCGAAAACTGCCATTCCCTGGAAAGTTCCTAAACCTCACCGACAGTGCCAGGAATTGAACCATAATCCCAGATAATTATATTTACTAGAAAGAGTCTGCCCATAATCTCTCCAAAAAATAATGTTATTCACATATGTTTTGTATAGAAATCCACATATATTGGCTTAACCATGTTTGGATTCTGATCTTAGGCTAGAAAATTAGCCGGACCTAACAGAAGTGTTTCAAATTGCCTGCCCTACAATATATCACATCACTTGCCTTCAGTGTAAGGCATGGTCTGGTTTATTTTCCATTGCATCTTCCTGTTGCAAAGACATTTCTATAGCTGTATATATCACTATAGATGGCTCTAAGGGAAGGGCTTAGAAGTAAGACTATACCCATGTTTGGATAAACATATCTATCTGTTTTACCTTAGAGTGAGCTATCTCATCATGGGAAAGTTGAAGCCTGTTAAATATACACCAAAGTTTTTAAAAAGGTTTGATTATAAGCAATGTCTCTGCTTTTAAAAAAAATACAAAACTTTTTCATTTGGAAGAAGCTAGTTTTGTACAGTTCTTATCAACTACTATTTTTATATCTGAGTAGATAACTCATATTACTGCAGCTTTGGCCTGAACCACAACTAAAAGTGTACAACATGGACACTTACTCTGAACAGACAAAATGTAGGAAGCAGCAAGAGCCATCTTGCACCGAAACTGTTTCTTTCACGAAACCTACTTTTTTTTTACTGGAAGAGAGAAGTGATTCTAACCAGACTGTGATTTTCTCAGCACAATTCCCTTTACATGGCCTAAGAGATCCTGGAGTTGAAAGTTCAGGAGACGCGAGAGGGAGGAATTTAAGGCTCTCTCAGGAAAGCTCAGGAATCTGTAATACTAATGTGTGAATATCTGGGAGGGAGAAGTGTGACACAAGGCAGGACCCAGAGAGGGAGCCAAGCCGAATGCTTTTCCCCAGTGTCAGTCAGGAGCCCGGTAAGTTTCAGTCTCAGGTTTTTAGAGTATTGTCAAAACTAACAGGTCAGAAGTCCCAGGAGTGGAATAAGTAATGCAAGGAAAATAAAGTTGGAGAGAACAACAGATTGAAAAATAAATAGCATTCTTGAAACAGTAGAATAGGCCCTATTTTTTTTATCTCTAAGTCCACAAGAAGAGAAATGAAAGAGAATCCAGCTGGAAGTTAAAAAGATCCATGAGCTCTTTCTGAGAAAAGGAGGGCAATCAGTCACCAAATGTTTGTTCAGAACGTTGTGGTGGCCACTGGTGCTGTTCATCAATGTGGTCAGTCTCCCAGTATCAGGGGAGAATTGCACTTCCTGGCTCCCAGGTGGTTGGGTGCGGCCACATGACTGGTTTTGGTCAATGAGTAGAGAGCAGAAATGACATGTGTCACATCCCGGACAGAAAACCAAATTGTTGATGCAGAACTCAGAGTTCTCTATTCCCTGTGGCACAGTGGCCTATAATTCAAAGTGGTAGCCTTTTAGCCACCCTGGGTCTCTGAGAGAAGGAGCACAGTCCCTTGCCTATCTGCACTGAACAGGTAATGTAAGTGAGAAACAAAACTTTGCTGTTTAGGCAACTAACATCATGGAAATGTTTGTTACTGCAACATGCCAAAGCCAATCCTGACTGATATATACCTGCAGTAGAGGCAATATGCTTGTCTCTTAGAACTGGACAAAAGTATGTGACATGGTCCTTACATTCAGGCATTGAGTGCCTGAAGCTTTTAGTGGAAAGGTAGGCAGGGCACTGGCTAGTGTGAAAAAATCTTACATTTAAAAGTAGTTCTCTGTCTTCTCTAAGGAAGACCTGCCAGGCAATTGTTATTTTATTTTAAGAAAAACACCAAAATGTGCCCTTTGATTACATTAATTCAAATCAAGAACACTCCCAGTGGTTGTTAGAAAAGAAAAAAAAAACTCTTAATTTAATTCAGCTCTTTTAGGAAAGGAAGTTAAGCCTTGATTTGGAAATGTCAATTGTTACATAGAGTTGAGTCGATGCTCACAGATAAGACACGTGTACATAAAAGTTCACTGAATTTGCTGTATCGTTGTGGCATTTTGTATCTTCTCAAGCAACAGCTATTGAAAGTACGAGCCACAAGAGGCAGGTGGGGGGGTTCCATTAAATTGTCTGACTATAAAAGGAGCTGTTGCTCTACAAGCACTGAGGAATCACCAGTCACAACGAATAGAACATTGTCTTTCAATGTGGACCTATATATTTACATTTATTTTATGTCTATTTTATTTGGTAGATTGTATGTTTGTGTGTGTGTATTTTTAATGGTCAAGTCAATTTTAAAAATCACCAGTCAGTTCTCTATGTTTATAATAGAGGATGTACCTTCCCATCAGTAGAAGTCATTAAGTTACTTGGAAGATTTTCAATTTTAAATAAATGCTGATATTTTCTCTCTCTTCTTAAACAACTATTTGCTTTGAATTCATCCTTCATAGATTTATATTTTTCTTACCCAGGTAGTTTTGAGTAAGAATTCACTTAATATTTGTGATCAAATCTGATAATCATTGTTTCATGCAGTTCCCACTGGAGAGAGAAAAATTACTTAGTATATGAACAAATAATAAAAGCCAAATTCTTAATTTTTATATATTTGAAGTATTTTTAGGAACAAATAATGATACTAAACATAACCTTAAGCTTAAATAGCTATCTTAACCTCATAGAATAAATATTCATATGTAGTAATAAGTTGCACGACTAAATGAATATTTGACATTTTTCACTTTCTCAAACTTTTTCTTGGAAACGTTTTCTTTTTTTCTTTTTAATGTGTCTTTATTGACATACAGTCAGTTTACAATGTTGTGTCAATCTCTGGTGTACAGCACAATGCTTCAGGCATACATGAACATACATAGATTTGTCTTTATATTCTTTTTCACCATAGGTTACTACAAGATATTGAATATAGTTCCTTGTGCTATACAGTATGAACTTGTTGTGTATCTATTTTATATATATTAGTATTTACAAATCTCGAACTCCCAATTTATCCCTTCCCACCCTCTTCCCCCTCCAGTAACCATAAGTTTGTTTCCTATGTCTGTGAGTCTGTGAGTTCTTTTTTTTTTTAGACTCCACATATAAGTGATATCATATGTATTTTTCTGGTTGGATAATTTTCTTTTGTATTAGCTTGGTTTCTTTTTGGTTTTTGTGACTCTATTGTATGCTTGAAACTTTCTAAATTGAAGAAGTTTGTTAAAGGAGGTTAAAGCATGCCATTTTTCTCTTTTCTTATAAATTGTATTCAGATATAACATAAAGTTCAGAGACCACAAGAATAACACCTCAGTGAATTTTCATGTAATGAAGACACATATGTAACCAGCACCCAGATCATGAAACAGAACTTGACCAGCACCTCAGGGACCCCCACTCCATCTGCCTCCTCCCAGCCACAACCTTCTAAGAGTAACCACTAGGCTGACCTAACCTCGTAGTTTTGTTTTGTCTCTTTTTAAGACTCACAGACATAGGAAACAAACTTA